TGCGTTGCTGCCACCAGCCGTCTGACTCGCCGTGTTGTCCGAGCCCACTGGGGCTGGTGTTGGAGGAGGAGCCTCCGACTTGATGAGCACCTTGATCTCTTCGATCGTCTCGGCCATGTGCTGGAGGTCGCGCTGTGCCAGCTCCACGTCGACATTGGCATACTTCACCTGCGTGTGCAAGTCGTCCAGGGCAGCACGTGCCTTCTCGAGCCTGCGTGCTGCCCTGGAGTGGGCCTGCTCTTGCTTGGTGAGCTGCGCCTTCAGCCCGCGTGCGCTGAACATCATCGTCAGCGTCGTCGAGAGCTCCAGCACCGCGTCTCGGTAGTCCTCGGAGCCTCCAGCCGGGCTGAGACCTGGTCCTTGTAGGATTCGACCTCGGAGTCGGACGCCTGTGGCCCAGGAGGAGGTCTCCACCTGGGATTTCTGCGAGCCGCTTGTGGTAGGGCTGGGCGGATGTAGAGCAGGTCCTTGGCCGAGCGGTTGTCGTCGCCAGACTGCTGCACCTTCTCGTCCTCCAGCTTCAGGGTCTTTTCCTTAGCGTTGTCCTTGTCCGTTACGTCCTTGACCTTGCCAGCTCCACCCGCCCCTTTGCCGCCACCATCTCGAAGAGCAGGAGCTGAAGCACCACGAGGCTTGCCCCCTCAACCACTATACTCGGGAGGAGCACTGCCTGACTGCCTCCTTGGACGTGTCTGCGTACGCCGCCATAGGGGAGACACTGGCTTGGGACAACCACACTGCCGACAGTCGACGCGATCGTGCCAGTTCCTGCAGCAGCAATCCGCACAGCATCACGCGGGCTCAGGAGGCGCCCGTGAAACACTTGCGGACTTGGACATGCTGGCACGTGGAAGACGCTGTCGACTGTAGTACCGTTGTAGTAACCTTCTGGCCGCCTCCACACATACGAGGACTCGGGCACGCGAGCGGTCCGCTCGTGCTGGTTCGGATGCCCGCCCAGAGTGGCGGGGAGCACGTCCTCGACGCAGCCTTATGGCGAGGCTGCCGCGGCGCGGTCGCAGCTGTCCCGAGGTGAGGGGCCGCTACCTGGTAGCACCCAAGCCCCTCGAGCCGGGACGGCGGCTGAGGAGGGGGAGGAGGAGGAGGAGGAGGAGGAGGAGGAGGAGGAGGAGGAGGAGGACCAGAGTAAGTCCAACATGTACCAACGATGCTGCAGTACACTTTCCCGTCCCAATTCCCCTCCGCGCTTTTTGACATCGCGGCGCGGCAGAGGCAACCCGTTCGCGCGCGATTGGATCGGGCACGTCTCTGCCTTTCCCCTTCTCTCCCTTCCGCAGCCCTTTGGGCTCGGCCTTTGCTTTTTACCGATGGCCATACCCTGTGCACGATGGTTGCGCTGCTGGCTGCCAGGCTGGTGCCCGTAGTCGCCATGCTATTCTCCGTGATCGGGGGCTCGCAGAAGACGCCACCTTGGAAACCATCTTTTGCTGGAGCTGGAGACCTCAGGCCATGGGGCCCTGGAGGATCTCACCTTTCCTGGAGCGGGCCAACAGCGGGCAGTCTCCGACTCTGGATGGCAAGGAGGCTCGGCGACCGGGACCTTGGGGCCAGCCCCGCCGTGCGCCCAACACGCTCCACCTTCTTTGGAGGCGTGGTGGGAGGGGCCGACCTTCCCGAGAGTGAAGCCAAGGCTCGGGGCGCACCCCGAGGCCCAGCGCCCGCGACGATCGCCTCGTCGCTTCGCCCGGCAGGCGCCGCCGACGGGCTGTCCGAGGACGTCATCTCGTTCTCTCAAGACGGGGAGCCGTTGAGCGTAGGACCTGGGCCCGCGCAGCTCGAGGACAGTGTTCGTGCCAGAGGTGGGCCCCTTCGCGAGAGACTCGCGGCCCTGGTTCAGCCCCCCCTTTGAGTAGGGAAGAAGAGGACGACTGCATGGACGACGCTCTACCCTTCCGTTGGACTGGCCCTGGGGAAGTTGGCCCCCCCCACGCCGAGCTTGCCAGAAGGGCCCATGCCGTGCTGGACTAGCCGGGATTTCTCGTTGTTTGGCCGCCTGTCCGCGGTGGCTGGTCACCCTACGCCGACCCCGCGGGCTAGGTGCAGGCGGTGCGGACCCCCGAAGTGCACTCCCTGTCGGCTTTTTGTAGGTCACCTGGCAGTCCCCTGTAGTAGCCTCGCAGGGCCCTGGTCTGGCACAGCTGGCCCACCTCGGTTTTCTTAAAGCTCTTAAAGAAGATGAGTTGTTGTTGTGGTAGCCACAATAGCTTGTGGGTGGAACGCCCGCAAAGCTCGCTGAACACCGATTTTGCCACCAGAAAAATGAGAGTCCTCTCCTCTCGCCTTTAGGTAGTTACGGTAGCGTGTGACAATATGTTGTGTTTGGGAGTTGAACTCTAGACCTGAGTGATTGGAGCGGGCACGTCCTTGCCTTTCCGCTCCTCCCTCTTCCTCAGCCCTCGTGGCTTGGGCTTTGTCTTTCCTCCCGCCCGCCCTGCTCAGCCCCCTGGCGGAGCCAGCGTGGAGCGCCGGCCAAACACGCTGAACACCGATTTTGCCACCAGGGAAATGAATGAGTGTCCTCCCCTCTCGCCTGCGTGTGACAACAAAAATAAGCCTGCGATCCACGGAAGAGTTGTGTGATGATTGTGGGCGCGGCCACGGCGAGAGCCCTGTTTTGAAAACGATCGGGCCGCCCTCCATCCGTGTAGGTGTTACTTTACAACGAGCATGCCTCGCGCTGACATGAGGGCCGCATTTTGAAAACTGTCCCCTTTTCATCGGGGCAGCTGTTGTAGCTTTCAAGCTTCATCATCGTAGACGGAGGGGAGCACGTTGGCGAGACGCCCCGCCCGCCGCAACCATGCGTAACGCAGAGGGATGGAGGAGGAGGAGGAGGAGGAGGAGGAGGAGGAGGAGGAGGAGGAGGAGGAGGAGGAGGAGGAGGGAGGAGGGGGAGGGGGAGGGAGGGGGAGGGGGGAAGGAGGAAGGAGG